CCTCTCCTAAGTTCACATGAACATCCACCCCTGATGATTAACATGCTCAAGTCAATTGATGACCTTAAATTGAAACCTCGTATGATACCAAATAATAAAGTTTCCTCCAACAAACAATACAATATATTCTTGGTTACACTTGAGAAAAGAAAGTTACGATACCTCTCCTAAGTTCACATGAACATCCACCCCTGATGATTAACATGCTCAAGTCAATTGATGACCTTAAATTGAAACCTCGTATGATACCAAATAATAAAGTTTCCTCCAACAAACAATACAATATATTCTTGGTTACACTTGAGAAAAGAAAGTTACGATGATCTTCTTGTGGGTTATAGCACTGAAGAAAAGAACAGAAAACATGAACCTTGATTAATAATTCCTGTTGCCTCAACTTATCCACTTCCACTAGATTTGTCAGAACCAGTATGTATCATATACCTCTTTTGTTGAAAATCATACAGAGGCATATACCATTTGAAACCGCACTACAACTTAATGCCCTATCCTTAAATTCAGTTACTCCGAAAGTATCAGCTGTTTTAAAAGGTTGGTGGCTAGCACCTATATAGAATTCCATGTTATAGACAACATGCTTATTGCAACGTAATGTCTAAATCATATTACCAGGATAAATAACATGACTTTAAAGTCTTCAATCCTTGCTTTGGTCCTTTGGTCATTTCAGCCACTTCATTAATAAATCCTAAAAATGTCTCAATGGAAATAAATGATAAAAGAGATCAAATATGTTTGTTATTCTAGCTACATAGCTCCTACTTGAATGTTAGCTACTAATGATAATGATGGTAATGATACCTAGTGTTATTATACTAGTGATCTTATAATTTTATATAAATTTTAAAGGCTTACACCCTTTTCTTGGCCCTTTGGTCAATTATGGCCACTTAGCAAATTTTTCATTATCATTTAGTTATTAATTCAATCACATGCTTCGAGAATTTTGTTTATTACTTTTAATAGTCAATATTATTGGATTTTATTGAAATGATACGCAAGAAATATAGTAGCCAGCAATAAGGACAATTTGGTGTAACCGTGTAAGAACAGGGTAAATTTCAGACGGATACTTGAGAATCCTGATTTAGATTCACTAATGCAGGTTTCTGACCCAAATAGGATCAATAGTTTCAGTCAGCTTGGATTATAACCACTTAAAAATGGATTCCGATCAATTTTTCATTTTAACGAAAGAAATATATCCAATTAAGATGAGGGTTAATAGCAGATAGACACCTGTATTTCACCCAATTGTAGATAGATCCCCTTTAGTTCTATTTGTGCGTATAGACCTCCTGAGTAATATTTTTTTAAGGAGGCAGATAGATCCCTCATAGTTAGACCGGAGAAGATAGACCCCAAGTGCTTTTTTGTCTCTTAAAAGAGTCGAAAAAGTTCACTCAAGGGTCTATCCACACTTGGGAAAATAGTACAGGGGGTCTATCTAAAATTGAGAGATAGTACAGGGGTCCATCCACAATTAACCCTATAAATCTTAGAAAGTCTTTGGAAGTTTGTAAAACACATACGACATAGGTGTATACAAGCAGGTTTGACTTTAGAGACCACCAAATATATCTACATGTCTATATGCATTCCAAACCAAGGTTCTCTCATTTTAGTTCGTAATAAGGCCCACTTGTAGGTATAACCTTGGTGGTTCCCAATATCTTCTGTTGTTGTGGTTTGAGTCTCTGGATTATTTTATTTTTACTTTCAAAACTAGTAATATATAGAAATAATATTTTCCCATGTTTTCTGTCCTCCCATCACTTGTCCAATAATAGAGAGTAAGTTTTATAACACATTTACATTTTCTTACCCATAAATGATCCAATTAAGGATGCCTACGAACTTTAGAAATAGGAAGGTAAAAATTAAAAAGAAACTGTCATATATATATATATATATATATATATATTATATATATATATATATATATATATATATATAATATTATATATATATATATATGATAAATTATGGGTATGCTTGGTACCAAGCACAAATTTTATGCTTGGTAGTGACGGTGGCAATTCCCTCCACTTATTCAAATAGGAGACCGCATTCACATGGACGTTAATGAGTGCATGTGGCATATGCAACTATTTGAATGAGTTGGAGGAGATTATGTCACATCACTACCAAAGCACAACTTTTTGTGCTTGGTACCAAGCATACCATTCTCTCTCTCTCTCTCTCTCTTCTCTCTCTCTCTATATATTATATATTATATTATATATATATATATATAATATATATATATATATATATATATGTTGCAATCCGTGCATCACCATCATTATCATCATAGTGTTTGTGATCAAGATATGTTAACCATCGTGATAGATCAAACCAAAGAATCCCAATATGGATACCAAGCTTTTCAGAGTTATAACAAGCTGAAATAACGCCTTTAATATTCTACGTTGATGTGGAAACTAAAGGTTTAAGAATTAGCATAAGAGAGATTGATGTAAAACCTTCACATTGCTTGGTAGGTAGGCAAAAAGATCTCTTTGACAAATGATCTAAGCTCAGGATGAGGATACCAACAAGCAACTGTCCAAAATCCCCTTTGTCAAGGTGAAGACTACAGACTATGAGGTAGTTAGATATACAATTTAAAATATGATTAATTACATTTAAGCTCTTTGAGGTATTTGAGGTATGATGTAATTACACGGGTGACCTTGGAGTCCATGTCTCTACACACATAATCCTGAAAGTATTACTTGTAATTGCACAGGTGCCCTAGAACCCAAATAACAAGCTACTCTTGGGATTACCCATGTAATTACAATTCGCAATCTCATGGTCATCCATGTAGATAAGCAAGACTCCAAGGTGAATCGTGTAATTATATCATACCTCAGGGTACCGGAATGTAATTAATCCTTTAAAATATCACTACTTAAGTAAGTCTGTGAAATTCATAGTTGGTCACCGTAATTTACAAATGTACTATCTAAAGAACAGATTCACGTTAGGCATGGACCTTTCCGACTGAAATCCACCTGAAGAATTGACTAGTAATAAAATTACTATCATAAAATGGTCCATCCCTTCTCAACTTGTTAATAGAATAAAGTTAGACATCCACTCTCCATGGAGTTCCATAATCGTCCATAACAATAAGTGATTGCTTAGATGTTATCATCTTGTCTGGTTCAAAATGTAAGCTTGTTCGCATACGTTAAAACTTTACTACACAATCTACATCATCTGATTATTTAAGATCTGCCAAAATTCCAATATAAACAATCAAGGTCGTGTAAATGGTGCTTAAGCATTCTGAGCCCTGAGCACACTAAGAGCAGGACCTAAGAAATCTTATCTAATCTAAGTGGGAAAGAAAATGTTAGACTTTCAATTCTAAATTGGCAACAAATATTTTAATATTATTTAGGCATGAGTGCCTTTTACCTGAAAAAAAAGGGGTCTTTGTACAAATGATTTGCACGGATCACAGCCATCTAAAATATTTTACATCAAAATTTGAATTTTCTAACAAGAAACCGCACAGAATACATCAAAAAGTAATGGGTTACGACTGGAAATGAGAACAAGCCTGAGCTCATCACGTAATCGCCTGAGCTTTGAGCTCTTGCTTCAGAAATTAAGACGCAACTATTGAAATTGGACTTTTGGTTAACTGTATCTAGCAAGATCCAATTTGGGCAAGGAAAAAATCAGAAATTTAAGCGAAAATGAGAAGATGCTGAGATGGGATCAAGGGAGGTGACGAGAACTCACTGACAACGCGAGATCCTTCGGCCTCGGAGCCCATTGCGGTGAGAGGAGGTCCACTAATTTAGCCCTCTTCCTCTATTTTCCCTTTTTGTCCTTTTACCTTGTTTTTTTTTTTTTTACCCCCCTGTTATTACACTATGGTGATGACAAATCCCAAAATTATTTTTCCAGTGTATTATTACACGTTTGACATGGGTGTGGGCACGGGGTCCAGCGGTACACGGGGAAAGAAAATACTACTTGAGTCGGGTCTGTTTTCGTACTATTTGAAGATGGGTGTTTCATGTGCGCTTAAATTTTAGAGGGTCCCAATAACATTTGAGTCGTTACTACACGCGGATGCAACAATTCGGGTTGCAATTATTTGCAAGTGTTGTTTCACAGAAATTGCTAAGTGTAAATCGCTCTTGAGAGGACGACGCCGTGTCGTGATTAACCACCTTAAGCCGTATGACGCCAACCCGACCAGGATCTCACGAATGCCGACTCCCCTCCTTAAAGTACTTTGAGACCCGATACGAAAGGCGTCTTCACTCAGACCTTTTTAAGAAATCCGAGATGAAAGGCGTCCTCACCCAGGCTTGCTCTCAAAAGCCCGAGACAAAATGCGTCCTCACTTGGTTTCTCTCGAAGGACAGGGACGAAAGGCATCTCCACTTTGATCTAGCGATGCATATTGAACCACGGGGGAATCTATCTGCTTTAGCTTTCCTAGCGGTGTCGTCACCGTCGCATTAATGCACGACCATAGCCATAATTACTCCCCCCGCCGAAGCCATAATGACTCCTCAGACGACGCCAACACCATAGCCATTTTGTCGCCGTCACATTAAACGTAATGATGACTCAGATAACTCACTGCCAACACGTATAAAGTGTCAACTGACTAAGCCAACTGCACGAACCCGGCTGAAGTTACCCAAATATCCTTTTTGGTTTACTATAAATATGCAGATTGTCTTCTGCATGAAGGTACACTCTGCTCTATGCCAGAAATCCCTAAAAACTACTTTCATATATACCCCCCCCCCAAAGATCATTACTAACTTGAACGTTGGAGGAACCATAACTCCGAGCCTCTAACATTTGTGCATGAATCTTCTTCTGCTCAAAGTGATCGGCCATCAAAGAATATTGAGGGATCCTAAAAGCTCTTCCAAATCCACCCTAATTCTCGTAATTAAATTTTTTTAACATAAATATCACGTATAACTACATTTGCTATTATAATACCTCTTAACAAATTGCAGATAGAACTCTAGTAGTATCATCTAGTTGCGGTGTGGATAAACCCCGTAAGTGAATTTTTCGACTCTTAAAAGTGTCAAGAACGTTTTGTAGAGACGGATACCTTCTGCAGTTCTTTTGGTGCACATGGACCCTCAATTGCTTTTTTTTTTCCTTTTCTTTTCTTTTTGAATCTTAAAAGGGTAATAAAAAAAGTTCACTAATAAGGAGGTGTCTACTTACACTTGGAAAAATAGAAAGGGGGTCTATCTACAATTGGGTGATATTATAGAGGCTCTAACCGTAATAAACCATTAACTATATACTCAATATTTACGTTGCAATGCACTTATCTTCTTAT